CGCAAAACATAAAGCATTGTTCTATTGTTTCATGCTGTATGCACAAACGGCAGTTCATAGACCAAGGGACAAATATACCTTTTTCACGAAGCCAAGGCTTTACCGGTAACGTTGATATGTGGAGCCTATAAAGGAATGACTTCGCTGTCGGTAAGACATGCTTACACGTTTCAGGTTGTCCCGGGCCATTACTAAACATACTTCGGTACAGGGGTATAGGAAGTAATGCAGCGATGAGATCAACATATAAAGCTTTCCGCGACACTTTAAATAAGTATTCCAAGAAAAAACGTGCTTTAAGGAACTCTATTGAGCTCACTACCTCTACTGGGAATTCCAAGGGACGAGATGTGCTCGCAGGCGCTGTTGTTACTACCAAATACGGCAACGCACTTGAAAGCTCTGCATGTAAGTTCGAAGGAAGTCATGAGACACAGTTCTGAAGAACAAGAAACGTGATATACGTTGTTTTAAAAAGACGTGTAAAAGTTCGAGACCACCTTGCTCAACGGAAAGAAAAAGATGATCTCGTCTCATAGGTTCCCAAGTGGAACCCCATACAAAAGTTGCAAACACTCTGTGAAACTTCTGAATGTCTCTAGTACAGCAAATCACCTGAAGTGCGTACCAAAGTTCTGCTGCTAAGGAGATATTACAGGCTTTCGCCCTTCCAAAAATAGACCACTGATTTACTTTCATTATTGCCGCTTGAGTTTTCATCTTTTCGACCCTTTCTGTCCAATAATGTCCATTGTTCCTCCTAAGTACTGAGGGACAATGCTGCTTCATGAAATGCCAGCGTACTTTGAAGGTGTTGTGGCCCACTGCCCGCACCAGAAGCCAGTGCACTTTGCCTTGTTGATGAGCGCCCCAGTCGTAGAACAGAAGTTTTGAGCTAAAGCGAACACATTGTCTACGGCTCGTTTGTCTTTACAGAAAAACGCAATGTCATCTGCATATGTCAACACTTTTACCTCTGTGGAGTAGAAACGGTATCCTTCTACAGTAGGGCTGTTTAGTACGCTTAGACATAGGGGCTCTAAGTATACAGTGCAAACAAAAGGGGGGACAAGGGGCATCCCTGTTTGACAGATGACTCTAGACGAATTGGACCTGACAGGGAGCCATTAACTATAAGCCTAGTTGTACAATTGCGGTAGCATATCTTTATTCCTTTAAAAAGTGTTGGTCCTAAGTTTATCGTTACTCGTAAACGGAAGTATCGATGGGCTTTAGGTATAGGCCTTCTTCGCATAGCTTATCACCCGGGAGAAAAACGCTGAGTCACTGAGCTGTGAACGCAGAAGGCGTTCCACAGTCCAGCTAGTAGACAAAGATGCCATGGCAGCGCGCAGAAAGGCGACTTCGGCAATAGCCCCGAGAGCGAACACAAGCGTCGCTGCGGTCGCCGCGCCCTGATTGGGTGAGGTGTACCGTGACGTCAGGGGGAGTACTCCGCTCCGCGATCTCGCATCGGCTCGCTTCTCAGCACCGGTTTCCTGGTTTGGCGTTGTGTGCCGCATGCTCTTCGAGGAGCTGGACTTTGTTTACCCGGTGTACAAGGCGTTGAGTTAGGCCGATATTGACGTGCTTCCGTACATTTTATAAGCCTGCTTGTCCCTTTTACCTTCAAAATCGGGTTACAAATCTCGAAAGCTATCGGCGGAGGCAATTCCGCCGATGAACCTCCTCGTCCGTCCAGACACACGGCAATCTTGCGAGGGGTCGGTGAAGCGGTGGCGCAAGTGTTTCAGACGCTAGAATTCTGTTCCTTGCATGTTCATGATTTAGGACGATATTACACCCCGCTTTCAAGGCATTTGAAGTGGCATTTATATCATGGGCCTTTGGGTGGTCGGCAAATTAGCTCGCGACCCCGATTCTGCGCTGCCACTCTGTATGCGCTGGTTCGCAGATGTTTTAAAGGCCCTGCGTCTGATGATCTTTGAAGTGCTCGTGGAACAGCGTTGTTTTAGATATATGTAGCTCCTTCGCGAATTAATTATATAGTTTATACACGTATGCAGGCATATTTATTAGAAGATGAACAATTACTGGAAATTAGTTTGTATGGTAGCAGCAAAAACGGCTAAATTGCCCCCAGTTATCTGTATGATATGTATTGAACTGCCAAAAATATGCTCAGCAATAGTGACGTAATTTGGAATGGTTATACGTTTTCCTGACATTCTTTATTCCAGCCTTTGGTATTCGGAAAATACAGCGTTGAGTCTGAATTGTCATTTCCAATTAAAAGAGACACTGCTGCAGGTCCCCAAAAGCTTCCTCAGCCTCCACACTCCCTACAGTTAAACTCTGACAGCAGAAGAAAACAGGAGTAAAAGCAAGCATTCGAACGTCTGTCCTGTGACGAAAATAATCCCTGGAGAAGGGGAACAAGAGCGACAAAGGACAAACACAAATCTCCAAACACAGCTAGGTGACTGGTGCGCGACTGACAAAATCCGCCTGGTCCGGGTATCGAACCCGGGACCTCTCCATTACAGGTGGAGCGCTCTACCAATTTAGCTAACCAGGGGTTAGACATCAGTAGAGCAAAAGGGTTTTATCAGCTGCCACCAGTCTAACACCAACAAGGGCGAAGCTTGCAAACTTAAGGTTAAAATTATAATGCAATTAAACGCAAAGGTGCAAGCGAGCTGAACAAGAATGACGAAAATAATCCCTGGAGAAGGGGAACAAGAGGGACAAAGGACAAACACAAATCTTGTCAGTCGCGCACCAGTCAGTCACCTAGCTGTGTTGGGAGATTTATGTTTGTCCTTTGTCCCTCTCGTTCCCCTTCTCCAGGGATTATTTTCGTCATTCTTGTCCAGCTCGCTTGCACCTTTGCATTTAATTGCATTATAATCATAAGTCTGTCCTGTGGTAGGTGCAGCACTAGTAGCAGAAAATGTGGAACCTGTGAAGGGCGACAGTCTGCGTGAGAAAAGCTTCTGATATTTTAGCTTCAGGACAATTCGATTTAAGTAAAATCTCAATTTTAGGGCTTAAGGGACTAATAACAAACAAGACACCTTCGCTTACGTTTGTTATACATTACTCAAGGGTTGATATAAACAAGTTTACAGATACCACCCATGTAGTCCATTGAAATACTATCCGAATCCAACCAAGGTCAAATGCGAGCAATGTATATTATAAATGTTTCTTGTTTATTTACTTTGCCCCCGCAATTGGGCTGTCGTACTTGTGATTCTCTCCCCATGGCCCAGACTGTATTTAGTATGTTGCTCGAACAACATGCAGCTTTTCTGTTTCGGACATCTTGTTTAAAAACAGAGATAAAAAAAAAAAAGAAATAGTATACATAACCTGCTCATTTATTCAGACCATCATCAGCATGTATTGTGCGAAATGTAAATCTATAGTGATGCTCCTGCAATTGTGGCTATATTTCTTCATTTTCATATACCAGCTGCGATTCATGCGTTGCCTGCCCTGTCAAGCATGCTTCAAATGTTGGTTGAAGTTTCGCCTGTAGCTACAGGCCATACCTCATTAAAGGCACATATAAAAATTTACACTTCCTACGAAAAACACGCCAAAAAAAAAAATATTAAATAGAAACGAGCGCGCCGACAGCTAGCGTTGTCACAGCCTCCACAGGGCGACCGGGGCGAGTCGGGGAAAAATTCTCTCCTCGCCGTGACGTCACCCCGGTTCGCCGTAAGGGGGCGCCACGCGAACTTCTCGGGGCTAATACCGAACTCCGAAGATGGCACCTGCCAACTCTTCATTGAATACCGCATCCAGCACTACGTCACTAACAAGAGAAAAGAAAGCCTTCTTGCTTGTAAACTTCGAAGATACAATTTATTCAGATTTAATTACTTAGAAAAAAGATAGGCGTAACTTGAGAAAAATGTCATCTGGACAAAAGAGTTATCAGACACTTCGCAGACACTTCGCTATACTTTGTTTCACCTTTAGTGTGACCACAGCCGACGCTAAGCGGAGCGCAAGATAATCTGCTTCTTTGTCAGGGGTTGGGCTGACGTCAGAATGCCGAGCTCTGATTGGCTCTGATGGAAGAATAGTGGGTAGCCCTCAAGGCAGCTTGCTTTGAGGTCTACCCGCCATACTTAAATCAAAATGAATCGGAGCTCGGCGTTCTGACGTCACCACAACCATGCAAAAGAAGCAGACGAACTTAGGCTCCGCATACGACCCGATGGAGCCAATCAAGCAGCGCCAAAAGTACATCGTCACAGTGCTCGTCGTCTATGTAAGTTTGTTAAATCGTCAGCTCAACCAATCTTGCAGAAAAAAAATGCACAGGATCAAGGTCCATTTACTGCGCGTGATCGGTTTAGTTTGCGATAGTAAGCCCACAAAGAGGATGAGCACCGTGACGATGCGCTTTTTGGCGCTGATTGGCTTCATCGGATCGGAGCATCGGCTGCGATCGGACTCAGAGTGAAACGGAATATAGACGTTTGAAAGTGAGGCCTCCATGGGCGCCGCCATCTTTCTCCCGGTGTGGGTAGATCGTCTGATATATAGTCCAGCGTTTGCTGAGGTGTACCCGCGGCCTCGGCAATGCTTGACTGCCAGATGATCTACCCACACCAGCAGCAAGATGGCGACGCGCAGAGGCCGTAGACTTGGAAACGTCTCGTTTCTTGGCCCCGATTCCAATGACGTCTGCGATGTCACTCGCTGTCTTCCTTCGAAGAAGGTTCCAGCTCCTCGGTATCGCGACCCACGAGCTTGTAGACACATATGGCCAAGACGGTGGTCATCAGGAGTGCTCCCAGAAGACCCAGCAAGAGCAGAACGTAGGACGTCTTTTTCTTTTCGGGCATGGACACTGTATAGGGAGTCTTGTCTGAGGTATTCTGACCCGGTGGCGGGACGGTCGTCTCGCCTTCCGGCGGGCGAGGTTCGGGTTTCCGCGTGACATCGGGATGACGAACAGTCGGCGGGGCCGGCTTCGACGACGTGATCTTCGTCACCGGGACGATGTTGGACACAGAGGAAGCGCGACCCTTGTCGTTCAGGGTGCGCATGCCGAGATAGATGCTGTTCGGCCTGCCCTGGGCCCGTGAGACCAACTCTCCGGGAAGCTTGACCTTGACCTTCTGGGGCCTTGCACCGCGCAACATGCGTGTGGGAAGAGAGATGGTTCGTATCTACACATAGCTCGAACCGGCAGCTATTAGTGCCTTGCAGCTGAGGGCGCACTATCGTGGACACAGCTGGCTATTGGCGACAAGATGTTTCGGTGGTTCTCTATATCTGACGTCCCGACGAGGATTAATAATTGCCAACGACAGTTTCGATGGTGCGTAAAAAGCACGGTGGAAGCTCGTAGTCATCGCGTCCTTGAACAGGCAAAGTTGACAGTCTGACATTTCCCTTACATCCATTGGTGAAAGCAGAAATTATCCTACTCAGCACGATGCATGCCTAGTGAGCGGTTGGCGGTCGATTGTGGAAGGCCTACCAGAGCGACGTTTTTGGTTGTGCTCGTCGCCATTAGCATTTGCAAGTGCATGGCGTCGTCTGCTGCGCGCCTATCAGATGGGGTTGTTGTCGCAAACAGGAAGCGCAATTAATCACCAAGAGAAATACGGCGAGCAAGTGTTCCAAAGTGCGTCTTCTGCGCATCAATCCGCAAAGATGGCCAAGCGTTAAGCAAAGGGCAGCAAAGAGAATATAAAGCGAAAACGCGACGACGAGGCAGCCAACCTCGAGTCATCAATGGCTGAGGTCGGGGGAAAACATAAACGCACGAGATGCACAAGGAGCAGACAAACTTGCCCACCGTATTGTCAAGTGTGATTCCTCTTTTGAGGCCCCATTCTACTCGGCGGGACCAAGCGAGACCGGGACATCGCCGTGTGCTGCGATTGGTGAGCGGCGCAAAGCTGGCCAATCACAGCAGGCGATTGGCCACCTCCGCTGAAACGGTCTCATGGCGCCGCCATCTTCCTCACTGGGGTGCGCTTTTGGGCGCGGCCATAATCCGATTATGACGCCTCGGCAAGGCTGCGTAATCGGATTATGATTCGCCCAAGCGCACCCCAGTCAAGCAAGATGGCAGCGCCCTGAAGTCGGACTTGCAAACGTGTATAGCCAGCTGTGTTCACGGTGGTACCTTTTGCAGCGTAGATGTTTTGTTTGTTTGTTTTTCGCGGCAAGAACCGGTAGGAGTGACCACCACCATTGTGCACGACGTCACGTGCAAGCCATGTATTCGGATCCCCGAGAGGGCCCGCGACGCCACCTAGAGGGAAAAACGCGAAAGAAAGGTGCGGGGAGCTACGGCCTATTCGAGCGACAACGCGAAACGATTGAACGAGGACTCCAACAATGGAACACTGTCGCTGGAGCGGATGATACTCCACCTCAGTATTTGTGAAAATCTCTCGTTTACAGCACGAGCTGTAGGCACCGCACAAGGGCAGAAACACGCGTTCTTTCGAAAATCGAGGCATCTGCGCATGTCCGCGCCAGCGTCACGACTTCGACATGACGTGTGAAATACGAGTGGGAGTCTATAAAGAAAGGCAGATTCTTTACCGTGCTATTTTATGCAATGTATCAATATATATATAAAAGTACGAAGACAAGTTTCAAATGATGGCCATAATATTTTCGACATTAGTTAGAGCCTCAATTATTTGTCAATCGTCATTTGACCTCTGGGTCAACAAGAGTCGTATGACGCGATTGGACTAATGGCCGCGCGCAAAACCTTTAAACGAATACGGAAAACTCATGCCGACACTTTAATCACTACTTTTTTTCCCATCCGTTTTACTGTCGTGCGTTACAAGGTGCAATAAAAAAAATCCCGAGCTAAGGCAAAAATATTGCAAAAAAAAGTGCAATTATTAAAGGGACGATGCAGCAATTTTTGTACTTTCAGTAAATACCGCTTGCTGCTATTCATTAACATATTCATAACTTACAATACACGTGTTTTTGTTTTCCTTTTTTGTTTTCACGCAATGGCAGTTGCAGAAAAACATCCGAGAAAAAGAAACAGCGTTTACCCCCTCAACTCGCAGCCAGGACAAGCGGTCACGTGGTCTGGAGTCGATTGAACGCCGCGATTGGGCACATGCCACCATACCAAAGTACATGTCGACGCATCGATTGTCACGAGCCCAAATCGAATGCCCAGGCAGCGCTCGTGTTCATTGCATTTAGGTATTGCCACAGCGGGGATCGCGAAAAGCTTGATGACGAAGTTCCCGGGGATTGCATCAGCCTTGTCCTCGCAACCTCGTCATCAAGTTTTTCGAAGGGGAAACTGGAAGAAACCGACGGATTCTATCCTCTCGAATCGCACCGCGATGAGGACACTTCGTGGTCAGTGGCGTTGCGGGCGGCAGGGATCGGCAACCTTTTGCAGCGGCGGGGCGAGTCGTTACGAAGCCGACTTGGAGGGGGCCGGACGGCAAGTAACGAAGTGGGAGGGGGCGAGGGTAGGCGAAGAAAAGGCTTAAATGGAGTGAAGACGTTATCTGCACAAGTATGGGGACGCCGGACAGTGCCAGTTGCAAGTGCTCTTCGTTTGAGGTCAAAACTGCCGTGTGGTCCTTGAGTCCATGTTGTGAGGAAGCGGCAAAGGGAGATGGGGTGACTGACAAGGAAACAGCGCACCCTCAAAACAAGCACTCTAAGCTTTCATGCACACAAAAGGAGGAACCACTTACACAGCGCTGACTGACAACTCTATGTTATATTTACAATTTTCGTTTTCGTCTTTCTTTGGGACTAGGGTTTCTATGGCAAAAAATTGCCCTTTTCTTCTTCCTTTTTTTTTTCTGTGTTTTTGTAATAGGAAGCTAAACCATAAATAATTGTATGGCTTAGTACTCTAGTTCTTTGTTGGACAATATTATGGAAGGAGTGCTGACACATCTCTCCTTTTGCCTGGCAATGTTCTCTGCTTCCATGATTTCCCTTGTCAGCTTGTCGTAGTTCCTGCCTAACACTGTGCATTTCTCCAGCAGCGCTGTGCAGCCACAGTCTCGGCAGTGAATTCCCAGGTGTCCGGAGTTTTTGTTGGTGATAGTGCAGTTGTGCTCACGAAGGCGATCGTTGACGCACCGTCCGGTGCGTCAACGATCATTTTGAGGGTGCTTGTTTTGAGGGTGCGCTGTTTCCTTGTCAGTCATGAACAACCAACTCGCCCGACCCTCCGTTTTAACAGAGATGGGGGTGCTTTCCTGGTGTCGTGCGGGGGGCCGCATGAAACTGCCCCGCGGGCCACGGGTTTCCGACCCCTGCCTCAGAGTGTTCTTCGGTCCCACTAGTGCCAGTAAGTGTGTGTAATATGAGAAAGATTCCTAAATATTCTTAAAGGGGCCGTTGCACGGCCTTTTTAAGCAACAGTGAGCGAGCAGCTAGCAACAGTAGAGTCAAAATTGATTGGCGTGGTCAATGACTGACGCAATTGTCGGCAGTTGTCATTTCGGGCAACACGTTGAACGCCATTACGGCGCTCAAGCTCAAACTAAGTATCACCATCGAGTCCCATTCATCGCGCGCCCTCGAGCCTCCTTTAATCTTTCGCTTTGTTCCCCACTTTATGTAGGCGGGGAGATTCCAGACATTTGAAGGCCCACAATATGTGATGCGGATGCTGGCCTGTGAAGCTCGAAAGTTATTATATTCACGGTGAGAAGCTCGCGAAGAGCGCTTCTGTTTTCCTCATATATGGATAGTGCATGTGCTACCCACGCGGTTATGTTTTAATTTTCACCCTGCACAGAATCTTGGCATTGCACGTGCTTGCACCACCAAAGGAAGTTGTAGTATCCTCACTCTGGGTTGTAAAAAATTTCCACCAGGCGGCTATACACAAACTTCTCGCCGCGAATAAAAAGAACAGGGAATATATATCTCTCAGCGAGGCAGTGCTCCCGTTTCCTCACCTATAAGGCTCCAAGGGCTCCAGCGATCCTTCCAGAACATCCGCCTGGGAAATCGGCGTCGCGTTGTTGAACGTGAAGAGCAGGACGCGGGGGTGCGAACCCGCCCTTATATCCACGGCTCGAGCTGCAAAGGCGGTGTTTTGTTCATTTCCTTGAATTGCGCTTCAGTTCCAGCAGTACACATCGATTAGTCTTTCAGCCTTCGCAGTAAACAAACGACAATGCGTGTACAGCTGAGTCTCCACCAATACGAAAGTACCACCTGGAGTGCGTGGCCATGACGGCCGATGTCCGTGGTTGCGATTTCGGAAATGTAGTTTGCCTAGATTTGAGAGTGTTTCCAACTGCTCGACCACGGTCACGTGGGTCATGGGCCGCGTTTGCAATACAAGCTGCGAGGAGAGGGGGGGGGGGGGGGGGGGGATGAAAGCGTCGTTTGTCTGCATGCGTCTCCAACGCATGCGCATGAGGAACCAACCTGCGCGGAGGTGTGCGCCATTAAATTGCCAAACGCTCTCCTATATTTTGAGTTACTCCTTCTTTTATATCTGCGCTCTTTAGGGCCATTTTTCGGGTAGCGGACATTTCATCGAACGCCGTTTCATCGAACGCCGTTTCATCGAATGACCGGACGTTTCATCGAACGCCGTTTCATCGAACGCAGTTTCATCGAATCGCTAAGGGCCGTTTCATCGAATTTCTCTGCACCGAGGTTTAGGGCATAACGGTGTTTTATAAATGTTTATTTTGCATTTGTTAAGACTAAGGTAGTCAATTGCGAAATTGTTCTCAAGGTGGTGTCAAATTCCAAGAAATAAAAACAATTGGATATGCCACATATTGGAAAGCTTTACTCATGTACATGACAGAAACCAGGACACTGCAGGTAAAAGACAGACGCCTAGAACACTTTTAAGTTCTGTGCCGTTTTTTACCTGCTGTCTCGGGGTTTGCAGTAATGTGTATCTCACACCAGCTCGTTTGCACCCTTAAGCTGGTTTATTCGCGAAAACCTGCCATGACAGCACGCTTATAATATAACGATACTCTTTCAGGAGAGCATGAAAAATAAAATATAACCATACTCTGATGATCAACTTTATGCTCAAATTGAACTTGTGTGCTTTAATATATTTTTTTTTTAGTTATCAAATTTTATAGAGAAAAAAGCTGCACAAAGAGTCTGCCGACAGGTCACCTGCAATTAGGTCCCAGCGAGCAAAAAAAATAGATCAGCTTTGGAATTGAATGCCTTTTATTTCTCAACACAATAGGCTTCCATGTTACAAGTGCACACTTTTTAGTGTTTGAGATGGTGAGCAATCGCTCTGAGAAAATCTGGTACGCTCATGCTGCGTCGATTTTGGCACAGAAGAGCGATCCTGTCGTTCCTTTTTTTGGTCGTCGTTTTCTGGCGGGGCGGCTCTTGGCTGCGAAGCATTCTCTCCAGCTTGTCCTCAGTGGCCTTGTGTTCGGCGGCCACGCAGACAATGAATTTCCAGATCCCCGGGTGTGCACGTCCTACCACCTTCAAGAAACGCGCGTGCCAACTCTCTACAGAGTTGTTTCCTCTCGGCTGGCCCTGGTTCATGAGCGGGTGTACGGACCACAGGTCAGGGGGAAACTTGGGCGGCGCGCGCACGACCAGGCCATTCGGAAGTGTCCGGGGTTTCCCGACCACGTAGTTCTTCTCGAACCATTTCAGGAGCGCAGCTGCCTGTGCTGGAAAGCTGGGCTTGATCTCTTCATACCCCTGGATATAAAAAAAGCAAAACTAATAATTACACCTCATAGTATTTTGACTAAAAGTACGAAACTGCTAATGAAACGGTAATGCGTACGCACCCGACGTATTCGGTGAGAAGGCAGAAAGGATAGCGCGCAGAGTTGCCGCACTGAGCTCGCAAACGTGGCGTCGTTCACGTACAGGGTCTGAATTCCTGTCTTCTGCACACGCCGGAAGACATTTTGAGACAAATGAAAAAAACAACCGTGGAGTACGCTGGCTTGAAACACGCGACGCAACGCGTTAATCGCAGCCAACTCAAAGTCAGTTATAATAAACCCCGGAGACAAGGGGAGTCCATGGCGCCCGGCAATGTCGACAAGGGCCTGCATGATGAATCATAAACACAACATTAGAGTATGCAAATAAAAATAAAACATACAATGTGTAGCTATTATTGTACCTTAGCATATATAGAGTGCTTGAAATAATTTGACCAAACTTTGTTTAAAAGAGGGCGCGAGTGAGACGAGTGCTGTCTTTACCATTGATTTATCGGCTTACGGAGATTTTAGATAAAGGGTAATCGCCGTGATATGTTAAATAATTACTTAAATATCTTAATAACATTTTTAATCACCTCGCAATTGTCACATATATGCTCAAGCAGCGCTTTGCATGAGGAATTCGTTTGAATAAAATCAAACGCCCGGTATAATTATCGACGAATAGCTGATGACATCGAACTTACATTGAAGAGGTGCAGGTAAGCAGTTTCGGTCTTCGAAGATAACAGGCTGTAAACCAGAGGGAAAGTGACCGTGCGCCCTCCGATCACTTTGACGCCGTGGAATGTGTAAAGCTGGTAAAACTGCCGCGGCACAGTCTTAAAGGTCCCGTCGCACAGAACCGTTGGCGACTGAAAGAAAAAAAAATAATTAGGATGAACAGAATTACACACAACCCGAAGTCAGTCTCTCCACGTATCATACATGACCGACGTATTTACCTGTGAAAGTTGGCCTAGGCTCTCCACGGTCGCAAAAACTATGACGCGTGTTCCGTCTGGAGCCGTGTCGTCCAGCTGCAGGAACTCTCGTTCCCCGTCGATTTTGTCGAAAGGGTCAGCAATTACCAGCCCGGCCAAGTTGGGTGGCTCTGGGGGGAACAGCGATGCCCTCTTCCTGCGTATCGTTTTTCCTAAAGCGTCCACAGCTGGAAGTGACTGGCGCGCCTCAGGTTTCATGGCCCCACCAATTTGCTGTGGAAAGACAAGATGAAAAGCGTTATACACAAGCTAACTTGTAGTTATATTTATGCAGGATATTCATCACATATCGCACATAATATATATACCGGGACTTGTATAACGGTTATAATGGGACACGAATTTTTCGTTACTCTCGCTCTTAAAATTTTCAGGCGTTAAAAGTTCGCGGAAGGGCATCAAGATTATTTAATGGGCTAGTAACTAGTTGGTTGAACATCAAAACTGTGTATTAAAATCGCAAAGGACTAAGAAGACGAGAAGGGGATAGGACAGGGCGCTTACTTACGACCGATGTAAGTAAGCGCTCTGTCCCGCTCCGTTCTTTTCCTCTTAGTCGTTTGCGCTTTTTATTACACAGTCTAGGTGTTCGCAGGGGTGACCCAGCGGCAATACACAAAGCGTACCTGAAGGATCTGGACCGGTGCGCTGGTGGTTCGCAGCGCCTTTTCTTTGATGCTTGTCACTGCTTCGAGCACATCGGCCCGGGTAGAGTCTGGACGGTGGCTCTCATGGGGTTTCAACGAGACGACCTCATGCTCCCCATTAATTGCATCGCGTACAGTAACGACACGACCCCGACATTCCCCATATTGTTCGCACTTCCAGTAAACTCGGCAGTCGACTTTCTTGTCAACTACGTACGCGTAGCCATCAAGACAGAGCTTCGGCTTGCCACGCGTAGTCTCCCGCATCTCCATGTCAAGAGTGTAAATCCTTACCGGGTCAACCATTTTATAGCCCACCTCGAACACGAAGCTTGTGAATCCCGGATGCTGTGTGGTAAATTACAAAGAATACATCGGTTTGTCTTTCAGTTTTTGTTGGCCTGTATGTTTAGTGACTTCGGCCCACAGAGTATGTTTTCTGGTAACATAAGCAACTGTTCACCAAACACTTTTCTCTCTCTCTCTATTGTCCTTTGTCCCCAAAACAAGCCTGGACTGGAACCACCTCCCCTTCACTGTAATCTTTATCACCGACCCTTTTGCCTATAAATGATCTTCAGGACGCTTTCTGAGGAAGGCCACCGCACCAGACAATAGTGAAGACTTGGGTGCGCTCTGTCACCCAAGAAGACTGAACCCTTCCGGATCCTCACATAACCCAAGGTTACACCTACACCGCTGTCAGACAATAAAACACTACCCGCTTCCGGGAAAGCATATCGTGCTTTCTGTGTTTTTGTCTCATTTTTAATTGTTTCGTGTGACATGGGGATGGGTCATTGTTTCATAGAGGCTTTCTTCTCGAAGCAGGATATGTTCACGATGGAACTTATCTCGTCACTGTGATATAAAAACGAAAACAAGACAAAAAACAAATAGAATTAGATTAAGGTGTGTATAAAAATTTAAATAAATTACAAAAATATTACAGCCTGTAACGGCGTTTGATGAAAAGGCGTTCGATGAAACGGCTTCGATGAAACGGCGTTCGATGAAACGGCGTTCGATGAAACGGTGTTCGATGAAACGGCTTCGATGAAACGGCGTTCGATGAAACGGCGTTCGATGAAACGGTGTTCGATGAAACGGCTTCGATGAAACGGCGTTCGATGAAACGGCGTTCGATGAAATGTCCGGACCCACCATTTTTCCTGTCGCTTAGAAGAGATTTTCTTTCTGAGCACGTCGTTTCGTTAGTACGCACCGATTTAGTCCGGCTGTGCAATTGAGTGTCACTCCCCGCGGAGTGATATGGAACTGTTCACAATGCGCGTCGCGCCACCGTCTCGACCCCGTGCTCCGAGTAGGGTCTTTCGTATTGGTGGAGGCCGTATACGTTTTCGGAAATAGGCAATCAGTTCTAAGGAAATTCGCTGAATGACGGAGCCGATGCAAACACAATAATGCGACCAGCTTATTAGCGCCGAGATGTTTCGGTGGCGCCCTCTTAAGGTTTCCCTCCGTGACGTCACGACTGGGATTTGCCTCGCCGCGACGTCACCAGTTGTAATTCTGGCTACTTACCATCGGGTGCGACGACGAGCTCACTGGTGTATTTAAAAAGCACAGTAGAAGCTAGGAGCCATCGCAATCCGAAACTAACACCGTCAAAGTTGACAATCTGACAGTGCTCATATGCCCATGGTTTGACCAATCGTGGAGAGCTGACCACAGCGACGCTTTTGGCCGCGCCCATCGCTAATAGAGGCTGTACTTCGTTCCACCTTAACCGTTCAAAACGCCGCTCGCCATTTATCGTGGAAAAATATTTCTTCACAAAATGGATGGGTGGATGATAACGGCTGTCGACTTTGTAACGGGTGGTAGTTTGCGTCACCGAGCCTAAAAACAATAACAAAATCTTGATTTCCCCTTTCCAGCCAATGCGTTTCTCTAACTATCACCAGGTCATGAAAATGATCGCCAAGGTGACCTTTGGGGGATCGGGCCAAAATCTAAAAACATCACTTCCCGCCTCCTCTTCCGGGCGAGGGAGTCTCCAATTTTCCTCTTGTCGAATCTTGACGGCGTAACTTAACACCCGATCCACTAGGGGACAGGTCTGTGACTTTTGGCCCGAGCCACGCGAGACGGAGTCCCAATTTTCCTCTGTCCCGCCTGTCCCCCAGCTGTGCTAGTCAGTTACTTAGTTAAATTTTCCCTAGATAATTTCCAGCAGCACTCCAATCTTCTCTTCGTTGCCTCTACTGTTTTATAATCCACCCTTCCATCTTCTCCAGCGGAATCAAGGGCCACCGGCACATTTGTCGCCACTTCTGGAAGGGCAGGACAAATTGTTCCCTACATTTTGGAATCACATGCTAAATTGTTTCCCTCTCCACCTTACATATGGGCGCACATTGTATCTGTGTCTTCAAATTTGACCCTATACGAGGGGGTTATGACACGCCAAAAATAAAATAGGAGATAACAATACTGCTAGGACCAATTGTAGGTTCCTGTAATCCTGCTAAATTTGTTTTGAAAACGGTGCGATAGTTTCGTGGATAAATCGATTTATATGTGGGTCCATCGGAGAGGCGGATCCGCGCGGCGTCCCCTTGCACGCACCCACAGACTTGGCTCTCTTGGCGTCTCGAGCTTCAGCTTCCTCGTTTACCTTCGCCGTTTCGAGCATGCGGTCCGTGACGATTACGTCTACGGCATCGCTCGCTTGTCAAAATGCTCGACATTGATCGCAATTGCGATGAGAGTGATTGCTATCAAGAGATTTGGAAGCTGTGCGTTCTGACTGCGACCCGCTGGCGACCAGCTCCAGCGACGGCGAGTTACGGACGAACTCGCCGTGGTCACGGTCGTCCGGGAATATCTCGCGGAGGGTCAACGGTGGAGGGTGGAGGGTCAACGGGCCGGGGGCGGGAGCGAGAATAGCGTTCAGGTTACCGAGTTGCGCGAGCGGTTTTGATCGTACCGCGGCGAGGAGAGCCTGTGCGATCATGGGGGCGTCTAGATGAAAGAGCGTTCATGATCACGTGGCTCATGGACACCATGGTGTGACTAATTTGGGCAGTGTTGCCTGGTCGCCAGATGAAAATGATCAAAATTCGTAAATTGAGTATTGCAATTACCAGAGCTCTAAAAATAGCGATGCTTGGTGTATATACTAAGTAGCCTATAAGCATTCCATTCCAAGGATAATCTATCCGTTTAAATTTCGTGTCACACACTCGTCCACGACTCATACAGCAGAGTGCAACCTCTTGAAATATCGAATAAACATTCCTTCTTTATTTCTTGCTTTTGTGACCTATAAGTAGTTAGAGCTGATTTTCCCTGGTATTTCTCCTCCCACATCCATCTCTCTACCTCCTTAACTGCCTTTTCCACTGAACGCGCCTGCTCCACTTCATTGCCCGTGTGCAGGATTTTCATCCTAGCTTTCGTGTCCGTTTCGTCCAACTCGTGTTCAGACTCCTCATATGCAAGTATTTGTAGATAGTGTGCGCCCACCGCGTGGCCTTCAGGTCTGTTCGTCTTTGGGCAAAGTTTACTCACTGCCTCTCTGCTCACAAACGATGTACAGCCCATATCACCCAGAGCTCCCTCGTTTGGAGTGTCCCCATGTGCCCTTATAACTATCCTGCCAACGCTCCTTTGCCCTACGTCCATGCACAAGACAGCATTGCCAAAGGTCAACCCTGGTACCATTACTCCTTTCCATACTCCCCGCAGAACTTCGTATCTTTTAAGCTCCATACCGCTCTGTGCTTCATAATGGCAGAATTCCTTTTACCTTTGTCAAGAATATGTCTCTCATATTCTTCTATGTATTTCTTTCCTTCGTTGATCCACACTCGCAGATATTTGTACTTGTCCACCATACCTATGTCTATGTTCTTTACCTTTGAAGAATCTCTCTTATGTCATTAAATCAATTCTAGACTTTGTTCCGCTGAATTTAAATCCGAGAGCGTCCCCTTCCACGCCGCGAATTCCAATCAATTTCTGCAACTCTTCTCGGTTATCTGCTAAAAGCACAATATCGTCTGCGTGCATTAGGCCTGGCAATTTCTGCTTCACTGTTTTCCCTCCCTCCATGTACGACATATTGAAGCTTAATTCACTTTTCTCTGATATATTCTCCAACTTTCTTAAGTATATCATGAAATGTATAGGCGACAGAGGTCATCTCTACCTAAGCCCACGACTTATTGCTGCTCGCTCTGTGGTTTCAGCCTCCCATGCTATAGTTACTTTATTGTCCATGTACACTTCCTGCAAACACCTCAGCAATGACGAAAATAATCCCTGGAGAAGGGGAGCAAGAGGGACAAAGGACAAACACAAATCTCCAAACACAGCCAGGTGACCGGTGAGCGACCGAAAAAATCCGCGTGGTCCGGGTATCGAACCCGGGACCTCTCCATGGTGACCGGTGAGCGACCTTTTCGGTCGCTCACCGGTCACCTAGCTGTGTTTGGAGATTTATGTTTGTCCTTTGTCCCTCTTGCTCCCCTTCTCCAGGGATTATTTTCGTCATTCTTGTCCAGCTCGCATGCACCTTTGCGTTTAATTGCATTATAATTATAACCTCAGCAATTTTATATTTAAACCTGATTCCTTTAGATGTGTCCACAGAATTTCCTGATTTAGGTTATCGTCTGCTCCCCGAATGTCTAAAAATTCCACACAAAACGGTCGTAGGATTGTCCGCGCTTTTTCTATACATTGCGCGACCGCATAAAAAGTATCTTCCACTTTTCTATTCTTGCGAAATCCATTTTGGAGTTCTCCTAACCTTTCTTCTCTTTCTGCCCATTCTTCTTCTCTACCCTCCACCACCTGCATTGGTTGTCTGAATAGGACTGATGTTACCGATATGGGGTGGTAGGATTTGATGTTGGCACTGTCACCTTTACCCTTGTACAGCAGCCGCATCCTGATTTGTCGCCGAGTCTCAGATACTCTCCTCCAACAACAATTGTTGTTTCTACTGTTTGTTGCAGCATAAATCTAGTTGTTTTGCCAATATTTTTTACAATTATCATTGGTATTCTATATGGTCCAGTTGATGTTTCTACTGACACCCTACTTTACGCTCTTTTCCATCCTCTTGGTGTTGTTATCTGGGGTACTTCGCTAAGGTCTGGTTGGCTGCCACTACAATCTATTCTTTCCGTGGTTTCTGGATGCTCTAGATCTAAAAACATTTCCTCGGTTATGCCCCTGATATATTGGCACGACTCCTCCTTTCCTACCCCTGTCCCATCGCCAGTAGTTAATGTGTGGTGACGCATTTCCGTCTTTCTACTCTGTGAATGTATTCCGTTTCTACCAGTTCGGATAATTTCCCTCGTCCATTTCATTCCCTCTTTTCCGATTTTGACCTGCATATGCCGCTGATTTCTTTTCCTGGAAGGCCTTTAATTTTTCTTCTATTTCCCCTACTGAAGCAGCTTCCTTTTTTGCTCGTCTTTACTCTTTAGATTCCACTTATTTGTTATTTATGGCTCCTTTGGATTTTTTATCCACCAGCCTTTTGGCCCGTGTTTGCATTCGTTCTTAAATCTGGCTTTCTCTCGTTCCAACTTGTTTTTGAATGCTAATACTACTTCAATGTACAACCACTTTTTCTCTGCTCTTGTGGACTGTGTCCTCAACTCGTTTTGATTTTTTTTTTTTTCAGCTGCGTGCAATTCTTTTTACACCGGCAATTATCAGTAGTTAATTTTAGAAGGTACATTTTACAGTTTATGTATATCGCCATGCGTCTGTCGCTGTGTGCGTTGTTTTGTTTACATGCCGCTACTACAAGCTCGTTACATGGCACGTAAACAGCGTCTCCGTATAAGAATCATGACCCCGGGGGGGGGGGGGGGGGGGGGGGGGGGGGCAGGCACGAGCTTTGATGCCCCCCCGTAGTCTACGGCTATGGGATCAAGTACGGTTCATTCATCTGCATATGTTCGTTTATATATATATATATATAATGATATATAAAGTGAGGGTTTTGGATGTACACATTTGTGTAGATAGCGTCTGAAGTGGTCAAGTCGAGACGCATCCTACGCTACGAGCTGATGGTACAAATCAGACAGCGCCAAAAGCGCGCCTTCACGCTGTTCGTCACGTTTCTGTACGTGTTTTATTGTTGCTGAACCAATCACAAACCAAAAAGGCCCAGTGCACGACTTGTGCTTTTCACATTGCTTGATTTGTCCCATCAGCTAGTAGCGTCGGCTGTCTCTGAACTAAAGCTGAAACAGAGTATAGAGCTCTCTCTCTCTATATATATATATATTTTTTTTTTTGCGATATTCAATTTACTTTTAATACCGCTTTTTCTTTTTTTAATCCCGGACATAGAAACGGATTTAGTTGCTCGCTTCGGGCCCTTCCTTTAGGTGGAGAAACAAGCCAGGCGAAAGAACGTTTTCTCATCTGCAATCATAAGCATATAAAAGCACAGTTTTCGGCAACCTTTGTTTCATCATTGTCGAATTTTCCAGAAGACCTAAAACAGACGGACAGCAATTCCCTTCGTGAAAGTAACTGATAAAGTTTACCACGGCCACTGTCAAGATGGGCACCCATAGAGGTCCAGGACAGCGTCGCCGTCATCCCTTCGTCGTCCAGTTTTGCCTCCGAGACAACCAGGTCGCGGATCGGCGCCGGTGATAGGTCTTCCCGCGTGAGGTTGCTTTTAACTTGCACGGACCCGGCGTAGGCAACCAGGCTCAGTTCTTCGTTCACAAGCTGTTCCTGGAAGCGAACCATAAACCCGCAAGTAAGATGGTACAGCATTCGCGTAAGCATTTCTGAGAAAGCACACAGAACCAACCATGTTTGTTGATCACATGAACCAAGAGGAAAGAAGCCACTCCTTCAATGTGACTCGGCACATTCAAAGCTGGAAAAAGGGGGCCTGGTAAACCTACGCTTCAAAAACTTTCTTACAAAGTCATTCCCTTATTCGGCTCAAGTAAGCTTTGAGGCACAGATATATAGGCTACAACGAGCGAAATACACTACACAGGTAATAACCCCTTAGCTGAAAACCTCTTTAGAAAAGCAAGAAGAGTGAGAGTACAGCAGGCAAGTCAAGATACAGAATAAAAAGGCCAGCAGCAGTGATACCTTATATTCGTAACATTTCGCACAATCTTAAGACGATAAAAACCGTGTAAATGTAGGTGCATTCTTTTCAGCCCCTCCCCCTCCCCCCCACACACATACGCACACAAAAAAAAAACCTTTTGGGTTATTGCAAAATGTCGCCTCTACCCCAATCACAGTACAGGCTGCACTAAAAAGAATTAAACAACTTACGTCCCGTGCACAGAAGCAGTGGTTGATTCAATTTCCCTCTCACGTGGCGAAACATACGTACGTAAAACTGGATGATGTATATAACCTCAAAAAAGGCAATTTCTGGACGTCTAGGCATCCATTGCCGTAACTGCGGATGCTCAGTAAACTTTAAAAAAAAAAAGGCCAAACTGCACTCTTATTCGCAAAACTTGCAACAACTCAGGCGATAAATTACCGAGACTGAGAACATTGCGAAGCTGTACGAAAATTGTGTTGGCATCCCTTCTCAAACCTTATCCGAAAAAAAAAAAAAAAAAATTATATTTACACAGAAAAAAAACAAAAAAACAACGAAGCGTGGTAGATGCGCGAACGGCGTAGAAGACCAGATACAGAACTGAGTTGATAGCGCTGAATGAGAGTGCCTTTTTACTGGCGTGCCTGTTTCACTGTGAATCGTACTCGGGCGCTGTAAATGATAAGAACCGGTAGGTCGTACTATATAGACCGATACGCTGTTTACAAACAAGCCCGCCTTCGCCCACACCAGGTGTGGGCACTACGCGTGCGCAGAAACCGAATTCGCGTGAAGTGAAGCGTCTGCGCACGCGCTGTGCTGCCGGCAGCGCCACCGCAGCTGTATGACGTCAGGGCCGCGTGTTGGTCCATAGGGTGCATGATATAAAGATATAACGATAGACAGTCGCGGTTAAAACGCGAGCTTACCGCTAGTGGTGTGGCGGGTACAAAATGATAATTTTCCGCGTACCGGAAGTTCCGCGATCAAGATGGCGGCGCCCGCGAACACCTCCTATGGTATGACAAAGACGCAGGATTTTCTACGTCTTACAAAGACGCAGGATTTTCTACGTCAGCCTAGGGCGCCAGAGCGGGGCACAGATTGGGCTCTGCGACAACATTAGACGGGCACTCGCGTTTCCGGTCAGTGAGTACACGAGCCGAACGCCGACTCTGCACCCCTGTCCAATCTTCCGGCGGAGCTTGATCCCGCTGTAACCACGTCAAAATACTGTGCACGGGCTTTGAGCATTCTCAATGGCGTTGAGCAGGTTCGCGGCGCGTTCCACAGCACTGCTCAGACGTGACGTAACTACGCAAAAATGAGAGAGTAACCGTTCAAGCTCGCCACTTTCAGACATCTAGGGCATAATTGGAGTGAACTGAAAGTTTGCTACTATATATGGGGTTCAATGATCCTATACTGTTCCCGTGCACTCGTCGTCGTTAAATTAGCTAGAAACTCCCTACAAATGGACACCGGATATTGAATGAGCTCACCGTCTGCCGGGAGTGGGAAGCGTGTCCAGAGTTCGATGCCCCGAGGTGACCTTTCTGCTGCTTGCACTCCGCAGGTGGCCCACAAGCCAGGGTATCACCTTTTCGAAATCGATCGAAGCATGAACGTGTATATTTCTTTTGCATTGGTCTGGCATTGGCGAGGAGATCGAACCACTTTGTCCAGCTAGCTTTCCCGGTGCTTACTCACCACAAGGCTTGTGAACTGGATTCTTTGTCGTCCTTGGTCGAGCGCGACGCGGCATATTGGACACCAGTGCTGCATCAGTGGTCGACCCGTACTTCGAACAGGAGTCTCAGTCCAACGATGACGCAGCGTTCGACAACGTGAGCCGAGCGCTTCGTCAAATACATCGACGCATAATTCACGTTGTTATCCCCACGGGTATAGTTCTAAACTGAGTCACCATAGGCGCGGTGGTTAGATCTCCTCCCCAATAGGGAGTATAATCACACCTACAATAGGTTTTACAACTGGACGAAAGGTCCACGGTGTGCATACGTAGCGATTCACAGCGTGAAGCGTTAATTTCTTTAGCCCCTTGCCGGGGTTGAGCTCCCATAGTTATTCAACAAATTCCAGCACCAGCCGATTCGTGTGTACATATTAACGCGTTGTATAATAGACCTTACCCGAGTAAACAAACACAAGTATTTACGAAAAATAAAGAAGAATGAAACATTTTTCAGTGGCGTTCGAACCTGCGGCCATAAACAAGTAGGGCAAGAACGGCCCTGGTGGAGGTATTCTGACTGAAAAAGGCCTACATACCAGAATAGAAACGTTTCTAACCTACTCGTTTTTCCCTAGACCCCCCCCCCCCCCCCTCTTTCCAAAAAAAAAAAACGTTAGCCAGCGCAGTAGAACCGCTTGTCTGGCGTCTTTAACGTACACCACGCAGTAGTGATACACGACCGCACTCCGGTATACAATGATTACCCAAATCGAAACGGGCAACAGTGGGGGATTGAACTCAGCATCCCAGGGTTCTGCAGCGCGAGCTCTCGCTCCACGCGCTCCGAGCTGTGGTGTGCTAACACGCTCGAGGCACGGCCACTCGATCCCCCCTGTTGGTGCGGCCTGCCGATGTCTTTCCGAAAACAAAAGAGCGCGCGTGACAGGAGAACTTCTTCCATTTTCCGGGGGGGCGCTGCACATCGGTGAGCGGTAAAGCCCCTCGATGTGTTTGCGCTCGTCTTGCAAGTATAATGCGCGAGTGCACGAGGCCCATGTCTCGAGCGGCCCTTGGAAGCAAATGGCGGCGCAGCACTGAAATGAGCGGGCCTAGTGCCACTAAATAAGCTACGCTTCAGAGTAACGACACTTGGCCATATTGTGGCTTAAAATCATGGTTGCCAGTTATCTGAAGCTTTATCTGAAATAACAGGAAATGCTTTTCCGCCCTCCACAAATGTTTAAACCGCTCGCGACAGAGCAAAGCAGTATTACATGACCTTTCTAACACCGAATCTAATGCTGAGGAAGTCGCATTTTTGAATCATGACGATCTGCCGTTGCGTCTGTTCTGCATACGAGCCAAAATGGCGGCGCCCATAACAATGTCGGGGAACGGAGTGCCGATACTCTAAGCGCAGCTTATTTAGTGGCTCTAAGCGGGCCTTGGAAGCGAATGGCGGCGGAGCACCCGCTCCTCGCACGTGTCTCGCGCGCTTCCACAACAATGGTTGGCGGTACTTGTAAAAAACGCTTTTATCAAGGGGCTTTAGTGAGCGGTCTTGTGAGCTGAAAGCTATACTGTTTACCTTATGTTGTACCGCAGGAAAGGCTGTAAGCGCGAGCTACTTGCTCTGGGGCAGATCTCGGCGGCACAAGTTCTCGTGCAGTAAGGGCAGCTGTCAACGCTATGAGCTCGCGCTTCCAGCCTTCGCTGCGGTACAACATAAGCTGAAACGGAGTATAGAGAAGGCGCCCAAGCTTTTGCTTCGCTACCCAGATAAAATAGGGGGTTTTCGTAGATCGTTCTCGCCGTCCCGCAAGGTCCTCCGCGACCCGGTATACGATAGCGGGAACTCCACAGTGAAGGCTATCGGCGCGCAGGCGCAGATAGCAACTTCTTCGTTGTGGAACGCTTAGCGGAGGGGGCAGCGCGGTCTAATATCTGCCTGTCCATTCTGATGTTAGTCTGAGAGCTGTGTTAGAGACGTATCCTCGACTGTTCCTTTCTCTTCTACTTTGAAATTTCCTCTTTTCCTGCTTCAGTCTCAGGCTAACATCAGAATGGTTAATTTCCACCAGGTCGCCTGCGCACTCACTACAATATCTGCCTGTCATTGGCTTCGCCGATACCGAGGCGCTGCCGCGGTTGCAAAAGGCAGCAAAACTCGCTTTCCTCCCACCTATGCACCGCTGTGCTCGGCGAAAATATCGTAGTGTCACTCTGCGCTTGCGTGTGTGGTTTGTGTTGGCATTTTGGAAGCTGCCGGAAATGTAAATGCGCGTTCTAGTTCTGAGTGCCAGACGGCGATTAAATGTGCCAACTGCACTCGTGAAACAGGAATGATCCTGCAGTTGACGAAGTACAATAAAGTCTCTTCCGAACTTGAGTTCGCACCGCTGACTTACATAGCTGGCTACTTGGCCTTCGTTTGCGAACAAAAGGTGACCATTTTGATTTGTAGAAATTGTCGTAATTTCAAAGTAAAGAGCTGAAACATTCAACCTAGCAAAGCAATAAAAAAAATTCTCAGTGAAAGCAAGGAAGGCTAATGTGTAGAACCCGCTAAACTTTGCAGGTGACGTGTCCTGAATGCAAGCGCAACTTAAGGGAAATGCATCACATGACGGAGCATATCAGTCCATGTTTAGCCTTGACCAAGGAGGACTCAGCTATCCACGACCTGAAGCTGTCTGGCTGTGCAAGCTTGTCTGCACTTTTGTCGAGAGGGCTCTACAGTCGGCAGAGATTCGTGGTTGTGGAAGGATTTGCAAGGTCCTCTCGAGCGCTGTGCTTCCACACCTTATGGACACCCCGCTGATGTGGTGTGTTAACTG